TGGTAGATGTTTAGGTTCCCTCAATGGAGATAAGAATGGAGGTGACGCTACGCACTCGACAGTTTCGGTTTAGTTCGTCTGTAGCTTCTTTTCCATCGAGATACGAGTTCCAAACGAGAATTATCAATCGAAAAACGTTCCAGTATTCTGACCTTCGCAGAAAAAAAATCGATTTTAGTTACTGTTGCAGATACTTGAATAACTTTCATGCAACCCGAATGCATATTTCGCTTGTGTCCGGATACTTATGGACGGTAGTGTATGTCCGATGTGTTCTATGCAGTGTCGCCATATATCGATATTAACGACCCTCGTCCCGTTTATTGCAGAGCAATAATTAATTACGCATCGTCTGAAAAAGTGAAAAAGTAGGGAAGCGCTTGCATATAAATAAGCACGGTAAGAAGAACGATCGAGGGTTGAGGTAGACGTAGAAAGCGATGAAAAGATGGGGTGGAAGCTGTCTGCGATTTATGACACCCTTCCAGAACACCAAGCACCGTAGGTCCTTTGTAATCACTTCTTCTGTTCGGAAGAGGAGAGGCACGTCTCGGAATAAGAAGGCCAGATAAAAAGTAAGACTCGAACACAGAGGGTGATACAAAGATAAGCAATTGGCGTGAGCCGTAGAACAGTCCGGGAATAATGCGACATGGAGGGAAGCGATTAGAAAGCGGGACAAAATTGTCTGCGACTTAAGGGGAGCACGGAACAAAGAAAAACAGTCTGCGGTATATACCGCTAATGAAAAGGGGAGGAAAAAAAAATACGTGGACAAAGGTGAACCATCCTCCCAAATTGCACCGTGTTAATTAACCTTTTATTAGCCTCTGTTATTTGCAGATAACGAAACAAATTTCTGGATTATTGCCTTTATGGGGCATCGTTGTGCCACGAATGAAAGGACTCGCCTTAATTTCGCTGCTTTCCGCTTTCAATTCCCCGAGCAAATTTACCGTTTCTTCGAACAATTGGTCAGGGCTGGTTTTGTCTAAATCTAATTTGTACGAGGAAAAATTGGAAGAAAGCCTACGTAGACATTTAACTGGCGACGCCTTCGGAGGAACGTTTAGAACGAAGCCCTAAACTTCATTAAGGGGATTTCTTTAATTATAGCGTTTATGCTTGTATTATAACTTCACGCTTGTTAGATCAAATCCAATAATCGCCGGTTGTCGTTAATTCGTTCGACCACCGTTCAGGCTGTTCGGAAATTCTTCTTACAGGTTTAAAGAATTCGTAAGCAAAATTATAAACGCGGTAAAATCCCGGAAAGGAAATTTCAAATCTCTCGCGGTGATATCTCGAAATGGAAGCGAAATAATATATAAAGAATAAGATGCACCGTTATCGGGACAGGCAAGATAACTTACGAACAAAGTTCGATCGCGCGTGTAATTTACTGGGAGGGCCGTAACACGAGTGGAAAACGTCGCGATTAGAATTTCCCGGCACGAAATAGCCGCAGCCGCGTTTAAACCGGCTACCAAGGCGTTTTACGATCGTCTCGAAGCGGCTCGCTCTTATCTCCGTTGTAAACTCCTATCAGGACGAATGGAAAGCACAGGCAGAAGCAACTTTTCCAGCAGCGCGTGTATCGAACGACATTCGGTATCGTGGCTGCTTTTTATCTGCCATCGCTCGATTCTGAAACTCACCCTTCAATTTTCCACCGCAGATATTGTTACCGACAAAATTTCCCGGGCGAAAATACACCGAATCATTCTAAATAAGATAACGCGAGCAAACAAGATTTCCAACTTCCGGTTTCATTAAAAATATACTCGAAGATCTCGGAATTTGTCGATCTAATTTCATTCGGGATTTGGGGACTTTAGATACGGGAATCCGGGATTAAAATCATGCGATCGCGTGTAACTGAAATTTAATCGTCTCGTTATCTCGTGTTACTTAATTCCTGAAGCTGCAATTAATCGGACGTCTAATCACGAATGATATTCGAATCGATTAATGAGTCCTTTCACGACCGTTCTAATTATCTAACTTTTGACACAGGTAGGAAAAAAGAGTCGGTAACTGCTTTTTTCTCGGCAATTAAACACAATTGTCGCTAAGCGGCACTCGTTTCGTTTCCGGACATTAAATGTCCCCCGCGAGAAGGGTGGTTCGCTGCACGAATCCTTCGGGACACAGGTCGAAAGAATTTAGTCCCCTCGAATAAAAATTGCCTCCCCTAATTAGATACTGCTCCCATAATTCTTCTATCCAATCGAGCAAAATTAATATGGTTACAATGCTTTACGAGCCTTTCCCTTTATTCGATGCAATTTTTCATTTTTTCAAATCTGGTGATATTTGAAATTAAACTTCGATCGTTTTAGAATTACAGTTGTTTATATATTAGGTATAGAAGAAGAACGTTTCGAATGGGAAGAACAAATCGAATTTTCCTTGCAGAACCACTACTTACAAAATATCAAACATCGTAGAGCGCAGCTCACACGTAAGTAACACGTTCTCATCTTCTTTTATGTCAAGAGTATTTTTCTCCTGTTTGTCTTCGGCCACTTCTCACCCTTTCTCCGGTTCTTCTTTATTATTTTCCTCGCGAGGAAGAGATGTTAAACCTCGCCCTATCATTTCCACCGTATCTTCACCTTTCAACCTTCCACCCTCTTTCATCTTCCATTATTTATCTTCCCACTCTTATCTTCCTTCCCGTCTTACTTCCGTTTCTTTTATTTTCAGCAATATTCCCGACGCGCGGGACATTCTTTCTCTCCGCCCTTTTGTTTAACTTCTATACGTATAAAAAATATGGGGGAAAGTATTTTATTCCGGAGAGCATTTGCAAATTGCGCTATTGGAATCTGGAATTCGGGGACATTGGAATTTCAATGGAAACTGATAAATATTCGGTGGAAGAAAGATCCTTGTTCGTAGCGAGATCTTTTCTTTCGAAAATTGGTCCCTTTCGAGTCGTTGGCGTTGAAAACGCCGGGTCGTTCGCATTAATGTATCGACGCGTTAGAGTAGATGCCCAGAGGGATCGATCGTCCGCGGGTCATGGAAGAAGGAAAAGCAGGGAAATACCGCGATCGCGTTAAGGAGGACGACAACGACCGACTTCCGTTTTAGAAACGACGTGGCACCGGTTCTTCCGTGATCGAGCCGCCGCGTTAACGTACCTCGTATTCTTAAAACGGTGTTCCGCGTTTCGAGACCAGTACCAGCCATAACAATAGCAATAGCAATAAGACGGAAGTGGACGTTGAAGGAAGAACGCTTCTTCCTTTTACATTTCTTTCCGAAAGCTCCGCGTTTCAAATCAATTGCTCTCGGATTCCTTTTATACCCTTTCGATTTATATTATATTCCTAATAGCGTCATTTTATTATTCTTACAGTCCGATATTTTATTTTCTAATTTCAGAATATTGCACATACTCTTTATAGTTCGAAGCACCTCGTATTGCTATGTACCTCATATTTCTAACAAATGCATCATTTCCAAGAAACTGCAAGCCTTAAAATGATATAATACATATCTTGCAAATACATGTCTTTCAAATCGAATTATATCAAATCATTGTATACTTCAAAATCACTAACCGTTCACTGTAATTGAACGTTATCGTAACATGAGCAACATTGTGTCCTAACAGCATTTCCAACAAACTGCAAGCCTTAAACTGATATAATACATATCTTGCAAATACATATTCTTCAAATCGAATTATATCAAATTATTGTATTCTTCAAAATCACCAACCGTTCGCTGTAACTGAGCGCTGTCGAAATATGAACAACATTGTGTCCTGACAGCATTTCTAATAAACTGCAAGCCTTAAAATGATATAATACATATCTTGCAAATACATATTCTTCAAATCGAATTATATCAAATTATTGTATTTTTCAAAATCACCACCGTTCACTGTAACTGAGCGCTTCCGAAATATGAACGACATTGTGTCCTAATAATTTCTAACAAACTACAAGCCTTAAAACAATATACCGTAACCTGTACCAAACAAGTAACCATACCGAATTATGTCAAATCATTCTATACTTTAAAATCAGTTCGCTGTAACTAAGCGCTGTAACTTACATGAACCTTAAACTTCTGGAACTGCGAAGGAAGGTGAAGATCAGAGAATTGAATAAAGAGAATCGAAACAGGAGGAACAGCAAAGATGGAGGCATCGTTGTAGGTCGACGGAAAGTCAGGCTAAGGTGTCGTCGCAAACAGAGAGTGGCGACGGACAATGGATGCGTAGTTAGTAAATTACAGGCTGGGCTGGCTGGTTAGCTGGCACAATGGCGTGCATGCGTGCATATGTGGGCGCGTGTATTGCGGGAACTCGTGTGCGTTTCGCTCGGTTGTGTTTGTTGTGTGCGGCAACGGTTTGCAGAGAGCGGAGTGCAGCAGCGCGTATCCACCGTTCGTCCATGCATACAGAGGCCGCGTGGGAGATTCCCGGTATACATCAATCTGACCTCTGCTTCAGCTACCTGTACATTATACGAGGCTGCGTTAGATACCCGCGCCAAGATTTCACTCTGTCCTCCATTGCGAGACATCGATGCGTTTCGACCGCCATATTCTCTGGAGATCGTGAAATACTGACGTTCAACGGGATCCGTTCGCTCATTCGACGTTTTTGCGAATTCCTACTGAAATAGATGTTCTCGATGTACTCCGTATGGATGTGTCAAATTTAATGCGTCGATGATTGAGAAGATGCGAGTTTTGAAACAGAAAGAACATGAGAAATGATTCAAGTTTCTCCGAGTCCTCGCAGATCTCAGGATCCCAAGATTCCAAGACTCAAGAAGTTTCGAAAGTTCCGTATCCAAAAATTTGGGAAATATCCGCAGGAACACGGAAGAAATTTTTCACGGAGGATCTGGCCAGACGAAACTGAGCAACCAGGACCAGCGTCTGGGCGTCGAGTTCGACTAATTAGAGAACCGTCTAAGAGTGGCTCGCTCATTAACGAGCGCATGGCGATTTATCGTCAGCCAACCTCTGGCCAAACGAAGAGGGTAAAAAAAAGAAGAGCGAAAAACGGCCACGAAAACGACGGAATTCGAGTTGATAGACGACACAGAGGGGTGGATGGCGGACGAAGGGCTGCGGTGAGGGTAGCAACGAAGAAGAGAGTTGGAAGAGGAAATGAAGCGAATCGAGGCTGCAAAGAAGCCGAGGCAAAGGAAAAATTAAAGGGGCTCGAAAGCTGGGAATGAAGTCCGTAGTTTGCGCGGGAAAGAGCTGCCCACCGCCGACGGGTCAAAAAGAACTCGTTCGTATTTCGAGACTTCTGCAACAATGTATCGTTTGCTTCTTTCGATCTCTATTCAAATAACTATCCACTACACATGTGTAGATTTAAGAAGTTTCTTTATACAATAAATATTGTTTACCAGAGAAGGAAAATGACGGGACATGTTATTTGTTCCTCGAGTCTCTTCGCCTTCGAGTTTCCACCACCCCTGACCGCTCTCGACCGCGATATTCTTCTCACACTCGGCCATCTTTTCCGCCATCTTTCTCGCTAATTACCCGACCCGTTTTCCGAGCCAGAAATCTCCGTTCTTTTCTCCGTACCCTCGCCGTGTCACGCACCCTCTCTTCAACCCCTTCTCGACGACGTAAGCGAACGCGTTTCTCGCGAATCGCGACTCCGCGAAATCCCCATGAAATATTCAAACCCACCCCGTCCTCGCTTAACTTTTATGGAACAGTTTTCTGCTCGCATCCGTCGAGTTCGAATTACGAGGCAATAAACGTGGTCGCGAAATTTTGATAACGGAGATTATTCTCCGAGTAAAAATCGACCATTTAAAAATTACAGCGACGGAATAATTTATTTATTCTGTACGACGTACCTTGATAAAACGCTTGGCCTTGGTCAGAAGACCTAACGTGGTGTGTCTTGAAGTTTCGGGACCCAACGGAACCAACACCTTCAACTTTTCGAGGCAATTTCTGAGGTGAGCTCTCCTGCAACAAAAAACAAAATACCGTTAATTCTATTATCACCTCCCGAGATAATTAAATTAATAGGGGATTTAGAGTACAATTAAAATCGATGCGAGCGTTTCATCCCCCGGCTTAGCCGCTACAATGTCTGTGGCATCCGCTTTTCGCGTCACGTAGCCCCGACGATGAATGGAGCGGAATTCGGCCCGCGGCGAGGTTGCAAACGTAGCAAAGAGATAAAATTGAAGAAAATCCGAGATGGGAGGGCGCAGGCGTTAGTCCCTATGGTACCCCGTAAGAATTCGACCGCAACGAAAGGTCGGGTTCTCGATCGGGGAAAGCGATAAGATTCCGATTATCGTGACGATCACGGACCATTAGCCGAACGAATCGCGCGATAAACATACAACCGGAATACGAAAGCAGGAAACGCGCGGGAATTATTTCCCTACCGTAATGTCCTGCGGCGAACGGGGAGTTAAAGAGGGTTGCAAGCGGAGGGTGACGCGACGGGAATTCGCCGTCGTGCGATTTTCGATGCGGTCCTTCGACCGTGAAGCGATTAATTGTTTAAACGAACGTTGGCCCGTCGATTCTTTCGGAAATCCTGAAAATCCCCGATCGCGCGAAAAGCAGATTTGCCGGTGACTGTACCGCAGCTGAATCCAGCACGTCGAAACGAATTTGAAGAGGCTCTCCCTCGAGTGGATCTCGAAGAAAAACAATATCCGAGCCGATGCGATGCAGCAGCCTTCCCAAAACAATTTATCCCCGTCGAATCCGTTGAATCTGACGAGAAGCCAGGGTTTCGAGGGACAAGGAGTCCCAAGAGGCGTCTCCTCTCGAGCTGTCCCAACGATCCGATCGATCCGCGAGCCTTTTCGAGAGATTGTCGTCACGCGAGTGCGTGTCGAAGCGTTATCGAGAGCAGCACCCCGGTGTTCCCGATATTTTCCTGCCGCCTTTCGCGATTTATAATATTCCGCTTTAACACGTCCGAGCCTAGCCGAGAAGATAAAGCATCACGCGAGCAACAGTCGACTATTCTTGCCCGCCGCGCCGGCTGTTACCTATCGAACAAAGAGAAAATTATTCGGTGCGATTACGCGTCGCTGGATGGTTGGCTGGGAAATGCTTTAATAATTCATGAGCGACCACGGTGATTTTTCACGGAATGTTCAAACCCTCCTCCTTATTCTCCGGATCGCCTTTCTGCTTCGTTGATCCAACCTGCGTGCTCCGAACTTCTCCTGATCAAAGAATCCTGCGAGTTTACGGTTTTTGATTAGAAGACTCTTTGTGCCCTCTCCGAGTGATTTATCGTCGAGCTCTTTGCCTGGAATTTCTCGAAAATTTTCGAATCAATTTCTCCTCGTTTCGACGTTCGACAGCTTCTCCATTGTACTCGAAGAGTTTCTTTCCTGACGGAATACTTTGCTCGGAACGCGAGACGTAACGAGTTATCGATGGAATTTTGAGACGAACTGTACCGAGGCGCAGCTTTAGCTCGCGAGTGCATTGGCCGACTATGAGTTAGATCGCTTTAACAGCCGTCTGTAAACAGCCTCGTAACTCCGTTGCCTCTCCTCCTCCCTCGGCGACCCACTCCCTGTTCAATAGCATCCCTTCTGTCTCGTAGATTCCTCTGTAGCGTATTCGTTTCTCCATCTGGTCGCCTATTTTCTCTTTCTCCGGTAGTGCACGTGCACCGCGTTCCTCCGAATCAAATCTTTGCATACGGTCGCAATTTTATCAGTGTTAACTTTACAATGTCCAATCTTTGGCGTTAACCGAGAACGTCGTTCGAAAAACGTCCTAATCCCGAGGCGCAACAGATGAGCACGTCACAGAGAACGTCCTGTAAGCGTAGCTGATCATCGAAGGAAGACTTACAGTCACGTCGAAGTTAACGAACAAAGCCGTTCCCACGGAAGTAGCGCGGCCTGGAATGCCGGCGAACGACTTGTACCGTCGACTACGAGGAAACGTAGATGCCGATAATTAGTACGTAAAAGCTGAAGCGTTACGGTAACAGCGGATAATGTCACTTACAGGGTGAACGAACCGGAGCCGTTTGGTTACGAGAAGACGGAAGCTCCTTTCTTCAACTTCTGAGCTTCTCTTCGGAATTATCGACAACGTCGGACACGCAGAAGATTCGCGAACTCGAAAATTTTCAGTCACCCATAAATCACGAAATGAAAAACTAGGGAATACGTAGGACACAGTCGCGGTTAACAATGTTTAGTAATTAATTATAGTAACGCCGTGTACGCGGTTTTGCAACAGACACTAGGAAGACCGTCAAACGATCCACCGACGACGCGTCGTAATTACAGTAATTGCAATTAGTTTTATCGTTCGGCTAACAGCAACGTTGGTTCCACTAGGGGCCACTAAATCACACGGCAACCAGTGAAATTAATTGCAAGCATCGCGTATCGTGTGAACGTGAAAGTCACGCGGACAAGAGGAGCTAGATTACCTGAACACGAGACTTTGTATTGTCCATGGCTCCGACGAGGAACCGCACAATTTCTGTTAACGATACCGATAAAACTTTGCATCGACGTTTTTAAGCTTTGAATCAAGGTCTCATCCTTTAATGTCGTCAAATCACTCCTATGCTCTCGTATGCTTTTAAATTATTCGCTGTAATGGACTGCTCTGAAGAATACAAACCAATGGTCACTTCTTGCATGTGAAAAATAAAGTTCGTGTTAAATAGTCGAGTAAGAGTAAGTCTCAAAGTAATTAATACTTGTAGTAAAGCTCTCGATCGATTAAATTTGAAAGGACCAGTGGCTCGCGTGGCAAAACGTCGATATCCAGGGTAGACGTAATAGCTGTATCCATTGTCGAATCTTTGGAGGCAAATGTTATCGCAGACGTTATTCGACAGATTCGACGTCGAATTAATAATTGACGGTCGAAACGTTACCGACACGTGTCTCGTATGATCCGCGTATCAGCTCTTTGAACTCGAAGGGAGCCGACGAGTATTCGCGAAGCACGCTAAGCTGACTTCGACACGCTGAATTCCGCGCGAAGTATTTATTCATCAGGCTGCCGGTACGCCGACACAGCCGGGACAGGAATTTCATAATGCTGATGTCACACGGTGGTATCGATTGAAGGACCAACACCCCCGCGCCCTTAGCTCCCCATCGGACTTGGTTGGCCTCCGGCAAAAATGTTGCAGCGCCGCGAAAGGATGTCAAAGAACGATGAGATTGATGGCGGGGAACGATGGATCTAACTGCTTGTTCCATCGTTACGCGTTTCTTTAATACTTTCGCGAACTTTTAAACTGGAATTAACTAGTAGTTCTCCAGTTCTTTCCAAATTAATAATTCACCCATTTTTCCTAATTGCCAAGTTTTACAATTTCTAAGTGTTAGAAAATAGAAATTAACGAACGGTCGATACAGGCCATCCGCTTTTTGTCATTGCACTTCCCCTTCCTCAGGGAACTTCGCTGTTTAGTGCCCTAAACAGCCATGCTGACGGGTGTGTCCTCAAGACAGGATCGTGTCAATGAAGACATTCTTGTATTCGCTTTTGCCGTGGAACGTCAGTAAAGAATTGCAGTTTATTTTTTTTAAAATCGCCCACTAGTTATTTACTCATCAATAACATTCCTGATTTTCATAAGTTGCCCGAATTTCCCTGCGTCCGAGCTATTTCATCAAATTCGTAGAATCTCATGAAACGCGAGCCAACGTATTAAACGTACGTCGGAACGAGATACGTATTTTTTCGTGCTCATCGTCAACACCTTAACCGCAGCTTCGCGCAGAAATGGGTGTGCATAACGCGTTCCAGAGCCAGAATGCATCCATCCGTGGCGGAAACCGTCCACTTTGTGGCCCGCAAGACATAATACCGTTTGATGATGTCATTATGCCGCGACGGGCTTATTGTTTCTCGTAAAACGTACGTGCAAACGTTCGGTTACGTGTGTTCGCGCGTGTGCGGGTCTTGGTCGGTACTTTCGAGATCCAAGAGCGCCGCGGTGGTCTTCAACGACCCCTTGTCGGCGTCGCCGTTGCTCGTCCGCTTAGTCGACGCCCGTCGTCTCCATTTTCCGCGACGGAACAATAAACCGGGCATAAACTTATAATTAAATGCCTGTAACGTCGCGACGCGTGTTTGGCACACGTGACGTCCATGAATTTATTGCTGGAATCCTTCTATTCGAGATTCTAAATCTCGCAAATAAAGATTCCATCGCCTACGATTATCATAAACTTTGAAAAGCGCAGCCTTAGAAGTACTTCGATATAACGAATGAAAAAGATGTTCGAACGGTAACGCGCGAAGGGGTTGGAACCGCGCGAAACTCGATTAATAACTCCGGAAGTCGGCTTATCGCGATAATTATTCACGATCAAAGGGCGACATTTAATCGGGCTCGCTTAAAATCCCCGGCTGGAAATCGTCTCGCCCGGCGAAATTAACATCCCCTGATTAATTGGACGTTTCGGAGAGTGGCTGGCCGTGGAACGGCTTAGCAATTTATTACGACGACGGATACTCGAGAGTCCCGGGGAGGCAGGCAACTTGTACGAACTTACGCTTCGCTTAAACTTGCCCATTCGTAAAGCGAGCCGGACTCGTAAGAGAAAGAGAGGACGGTGGTGGCGCGAAGGGGTAGTTTACCCCTTTTCGCGCGGAACCACGGTTCCGGTCACGAATAGATCCGGACTCCCGTACACACGACGATCTTTATGCACGAATTACCTTGTACTCGGCTTCCTAAACAACCGGGCTTCGAAAAATATTCACATTTGGACAACTTGCGTTTATTTTCGGAGAACAAATATCTGGTTACGTCGCTTTTGTCGGCAGATTCGATTCGTCTGCACGTTCTTTTTGAACAAGCGAAGACTTGGTACAACTTGGTAACTTTTGGTATTTTATAAAAATAAGAATGTTTAAATTCGAAAGAGGTGTGTGTGGTACACAGTGCGTTTGCGCCAGATGATCACAAGTACGAATCGCAGAATTTGACATCGGAT